ATGAAACAGTTCGTCGTGATAGAGACGTCAATGGTAAACATGGTGGGGGAGTTTGTTTTTACATTCGGTTAACGATACATTTTTTACCGCGACCCGACCTGTTCATGCATTGACCAAATTAAGAATTCAGTGCATTGATCCGCAAACCCAGCTCAAAGTCTTTTTCTCATTACAACATGGTATAGACCACCTTACTCGGGTGTAGACAAATTCAACTATTTTGAGAAACTAATTGGCAACTAGATGCGCAAAACGTTGAATATTATGCAATGGGTGACCTGGGCTATAATTTAAGGGCAACCACTGTAGATCATTAGATCATAATTCACTAACTTTATTGACTAATATTACCAAATAATCTTTATAACCTACGTCAACTAATTGAAGAGCCGACTCGTATTAGGAGTGGGCCATTATATATACTGGGAAGGGGGGACAGGGGTGGCAGATCCAAAAAAAATTCATGCAAGGAATTCGAGTAGAAAAAATTCCTGCAAGCACTTGTGGAATAAAAAAAAAATCGTGCAACTTCATGAGAAAGCCAAGTGAAACTTATTGAGCGCGGGCAGTTTAATAGCTAGTATGGCTCATTTTACATTACTTGTGATACATGTACAAGCTGCACAGTATGTACATGCTGTAAAACATTTAATAACATCAATAACATATAGATTGAAAATGAGTTTATATATATATAGAGCATATCAGGCCCGTAACTAGCTATGACTGTCAACCGATTCAGTTGATTCGGTAAGCAGGCCTGCAAATTAGTGCCGGTCATCGGAAATTTTCCGGCCAAATTTTACATTTTCTCCGATCAAAACTTTTTATGAGCGGACATGTGACCGACCAATTTAGGCTGGTCAAATCTCCAATCCCAAAAAATTGTTTATTTAACACATTTCTTATTAATGAAGCCAACAAGGAAGCAGCAATATAGTCTTCACTATTTCTCGCTGCATGAAGCCGTAAGCTGATTTAACTATAAATCTACATCACCTCAGTGCCAGATTAACCATATGGCAGAAACGGCATATGCCACGGGCCCCGCGCTTCTCTCTTCTATTTTTTTGTTCCCTGTTTCAGCGCGGGGTCCAAACAGTGCGCCAGTGCGAGGCCTCAAAGAGCCCGAGTCCCCCAGAAAACTCGAGGCCCCAAAATATCGGCCCCATATGTTTTCTTTTTATTCCCTGTTTTAGTGTTTCAGCGCGGGGGCCCAAAGAGCCCAAGGTCCCCAGAAAACGTTATAGGCCCCCAAGATTTAAAAATTGAGGCGCCAAAGTGCTGGGGCCCAAACGATATTTTTGTTCCCTGTTTTAGCGCGGGATCCAAACAGGGCGGGGCCCTAAAGAGTCCAAGGCCCCCAAAAGCAAAACCGCAAACTAAAAAAAAACGCGAGGCCCAAAGTTAAAAAAGCCTGGCTCCAAAAAGCGATCGCGAGTCCAGAAAATCATAGGGTTCAGAAAATTTCGAAATTTGCAGCAAACTGTTATATTAAATGCTAAAAGATCGCTGAATTTCGTGGAAGGCGGCAGAAGTTTATGTGGACGCTAAATCACGCCATCATGTTTAGCTATTTTTCCCCTGTAAATAATAATGTTAATGGTGTAAACCGTGTTGAATTTCAGTTCGATCAAATTATTGATGTGTAATTCTTTCTCTTTTTGTAAATACACAGGAAAATTTTCATTAGGCCAGAAGAAAATTTTAGTGATGTCAGTATTGTCTAAAAAGTGAGTTATATTGGTTAAAAAATAAGTAAATGGGCAGGGCCTTTCAGAGAGGGGGACAAAGGGGGGAAAGGAGGCAAAGGGGGCTTCCAGTTTAAGGGAGCCCCAAAATTTGCAAAATTACAAAAAATAATTTGGAACGTTTTTTTTTATATAAATATATAATGGTATGAGAAAAAATTTTTAGACCTAAATTTTACAGATGTTTGTAAAAATTAAAAGGGTTTTACCATATTTTAACAGGAATTAACCCTAATTTAACTGCTGTTTGTCCGGGAAAATTTTTTGACTATTTTTTTAATGTCCGGAAAAAAATTGTTAACGCCCCCCACCCCTCCCCTCCCGCTCACCAATATTTCTGGGGGAAATGGGGGCCCCAAAATTAAAATTTGCCCCGGGCTGCCGAATTCCCCTGATAGGCCATGTAAATAGTGCTAGTGATGTTAGTAAAGTCTTTAACAGCCTTCGGTTAACCGCGCAACGCATTTGGGGAGACTGGTTTCGCATTTGTTGCATCCGGGAATTTAAGTTCCCGGACACACTTTTTGTATTTATATTCAACACCTTTCGTATTTATATATTCAACACCTTTCGTATTTATATATTCAACACTTTTCGCGTTTATATATTCAACAGAATTTCGCATTTATAAATTCAACATTGAATAAGAATGTAAACTTTTCGTGTTGAATATGAATATGTTCATAGCTGAAGTTGAATAAGTATCATTTCATATGTGTTTATTGTTGAATATGAATATAATTATTGTTGTTGAATATAATTATTTTAGGTTGAAGTTGAATAAATATATTTCCTATGTGTTTATTGTTGAATATGGATATAATTATTGTTGTTGAATATAATTATACTAGGTTGAAGTTGAATGCAAATATACATTGTTGAATTTTGCAACAAAATGCCAACCATATCGGAAAAACTCGGTATTAGTCGTCTTTTACGAATCTGCCGCGTGACTGGTACGCTCACCACCGCTCACCGCTCACCGCGACACGAAATTTAGAGCTATATGAAAGTTGCATGCCATATATGGCATGCAACAAAAACGACTCATCTTATGAGTTCATTGGCGAAGTAATTTTAAAAATAAACGTTGTCTAAGCCGAGAAAATCAATGTTAAAGTCTATGTAAATCAACATGAATCTGTATCAGATATACAGATACGACACGCTTATGATTTTTCTTTGTGTTTTCTTCATGAATTATTAATGAGACAGCCAGCTTGGGTTTGCTTGCTTTGCTCTTTCTACTGCCCTTGTGTGTTAATAGATACTATGTGTTGTGTAATGTATTTCATTCAACCCTACTAGAACTCTGGGCAGAAAACCTACCAAGCCACTCAAACATGCTTTTTGGGCCTCTATTATTACAATGATGGGCCAAACAGAATTAGTGTGTCAGAATTAATATCCTATTTCTGTCTCTTATAGGTTATGGCACTTTCTTATGAAAATTCAATATAAAGTTTGGACATTAGGACGTCAGTTTCAGGCTCCTTGCACGGCATCATAGCCAGTTTAGACGTCAGCTTCAGCCCCCCTACGCACGCGTTAACTAAGATGTGTAGTGGCGTCAGCATTAGCCAAATAGGCCGTATTCCCTGACCGCTTTTCGTTCAGTTTTGTTGCCCCCCTTCGGGCACTACTTTAAATTCACACGAATCTATACATTTTTATACGCTGAGTACGAATTCACTTGTTGTCACTCGCACAAACCTGCAGTTTTTTTGTATTTTACGATCAAACATCAACATATTTTATTAAAATTTCCGCCATTTTGTTCAGGAAACTTCATGTTGTATACAATTATTGTACTAGTTCAAGTCTCTTAGCAGGGGGTTGCACGCGGTATTACGCATTTTTATCATTCTTCTGAGGAAAATATACGTACAGAAATAAAAATATAGATATTTTTTCACAATATTAAAATGCAAAAGGTAATAATACATGTTTGTATATAATCAGGAACTAATCTACTATTCTTTATTGCGCCAACTTTTGGGTTTTTGGCCTCACCTTGATGTGAAATTGCAAAGACTGTCACTATATGGTCTATATCCACAAAGACTCACTTGACTTGTCCTTGGTAAAGTTGTTTATTTTATTTATTACTGAAATTATGTACATAATTTTAGCCTTACAATGTGAATAGGCAATTTTTCTTTCAAATTTTTGTTAACAATGAATAAGGAGCACAATATACTTGTTGTTTAATTAATAAATGTTAGACCTATTTGTTGTTTAGTATAAAATGTTAGACCTAGTCACCTAGGTAATTTATTAACACAAATAGACCATTGCCCATTAGTAGCAGTTGACTTCAATCAAATTAGCTCATCCATTTAGTAAATCTGCACATAATGAGTTCCATCACAGTTAATAGAATAGATGGTTTGGCTGAAACTCTCAAACTCATTATTTATGTTAGTCAACATTTATTCATAAATCTGGTCCTTCATCGTCATGTGTGTATTGTATTCTTGCCAAATCCACCTTGTATTCTTGCAATTTTCAATTTACCCTATTGTTCGAGAGTTACGGATAGGTAACTTTCCTAAGACATTGCTATTGGTTAGTTGGGCAAAAATACAGAGACCAGTTTTATGAATAAACCAGTGGTGTAACTTAACTTTTTTGACCATTTGCTTTCAGGGCAAGTTAATTGGACATGAAAATTAGTTGCCCTGAATAAAATTCATTTGCCAGGGGGTATAAATCAAGGGGGCAACATGTCGACTCATTCTCTATGTGGCTATGTTATACTGCCTTAGATCTAGCTTTGGCCCACAAAAAACAAAATTTGAATCAAGTACATACACCATAAAAAAATTATCCGATAATGAAAGCCGAGCTTTTTGTGGCAAGAGGCAACTTGCCCAATCGGGCAAGATAAAACGTTTACTTGCTCGTCATGATATTCACTTGCCCCGGGCAAGTGTTAAGTTACACCTCTGTAAACGTTGACTAGCATACCTGTAGATAATGAGGTATATATATTGTTATTCTAATGAGTTTCCAAACCATCTATTCTATTAACTATGGTATGTTTCATTTTCTTGTATTATAATAAAATTTTTGCTATCATGACATTGAGCTTTGTAAAAAAAACTTTTGGAAGATGTCTTTCACTCTAAGACAGACTGACAGCTTACTTTTGGTCTGTTTATATGGAGTTAACCCAGCCTAGATTAGCCATATTTTTTTAATTAATCACTTTATTAAAGTATTTACATTAGCAAATGGTGGCCATACAGGACATAGCCCCAATTGATTACAGCTACAATAGCTTGCTTGGTGTTTCAATTTATGTGACACTGTTGAGGCAAGCATATGCATGGGCTTGCTGGAACAAAGGTACTAAGCAAAAAATTATATTCACACAAGCAAATCTCAAAGTCATGCCACCTAGAGACATGAATTGGTCGAGCCATTTGAATTGGTTGAGCCATAATGAGGTTTAACAACATATTGTCATGATACATCCTCACCTTAATAAGCTCTAATCCTATTTGAGCTGCCACTCATTACCAAGCACTTGGAGGAGGGATACTTTATTAATTTATATTTGGCCAGGCAGGCACTAGAAATTTAATTAAAGTAATCTGGGATCACTATACCTACCAATATGCATTAGTTACACAAACCTTCTTTCCAGTTGGGCTAGCCTAGCTGCCTAGCCAAGACTCTTTTTTTCCATGCCTTAGATCTTGGATAACAGCTGGGCATTAAATAATACTCTATTCACATCAATCTATTGATGTAAATAACATTTCTTCATTTCCTTAGGGGGTACCCAAGCCAGCTGGATAGCTAGCTCGCTTTGCCAAGATCTAACGTCGCTATGTAATTTAAACTAATATTCATCTTGCATTTATATGGAACTGGGCTGGCCTGTCAAGGCAAGATCTTGAGAAGTAAAAAATATTATATTATACTATTTATAACAGTGATCTGTTTTGGCAAACCAGCCCGCCTCAAAAGTCTCTTGTAAACATGGGATGAAATCAACTCGGGTTACCTGGGCTGGCTCGCCTAGGAGATTAGAAAGTTTCAAAGTTAAAATTTATTTTGAAATCTCTCTGAGGGATAAAACCTTCAAAACTTTATTGTTGACAAAAATTTCAGGTAGACAATACCCAGGAAAATTGCCTATTCATATTGCAAGGCTAAAATTATGTACATAATTTCAATAATAAATAAAATAAACAACTTTACCAAGGACAAGCGAGTCTTTATGGATGACAAGAACAGTAGATTAGTCCCTGATTATTTACAAACATGTATTATTACCTTTCGCACTTTAATATTGTGGAAACATATCTATATTTTTATTTATTTCTGTATATTTTCCTCAGAAGAATGATAAAAATGCGTAATACCGCGTGCAACCCCCCTGCTAAGAGACTTGAACTAGTACAATAACTGTATATAACATGAAGTTTCCTGAACAAAATGGCGGAAATGTTAATAAAAAATGTTGATGTTTGATCGTAAAATACAAAAAAACTGCAGCTTTGTGCGAGTGACAACAAGTGAATTCGAACTCAGCGTATAAAAATCTATAGATTAATGTAAATTTAAAGTAGTGCCCGAAGGGGGGCAACAAAAATCGTTTTCTAAGCGACTTTTGGGGCCAGCCGGCCAGGGAATACGGCCTAAAAGGCGTTTGCCTATTGCCACAGAGTAGATAAGACATACAGAGACGTAACTGACCGTCAAAACACTGCGGAAGATTACGTTATCATGTACCCACGTTTTTTCAGGCGACCGGTCGAAAAAATGATCAACTGCGCGTGCTCGGCAAGTTTAAAGTGAGTCGTCATCAGGTCGTCATCCAATCAGATGCATGCATCTAGTAACTTGCCGAGCACGCGCACAAAAAAAGTGGGTACACTAGTTACGTCTCTGTATGTCTCTACTCTGTGCTATTGCTTTGCTAAAGCTACGTTTACACGCTGTGATTTGTCGTGTACGATTCGTATTCTGGCGTATGTAATTTATTGCTGACGCCACAATTCCTCTTTATTCAGATTATGGCGAAATTTGAAATGCAACCACTTTACGCGTGCCTATTCGATTACATACGCCAGAATACGAATCGCACACGACAAATCGTAGCGCGTAAACAAAGCTTAAAAAAGTGCGAGAATGACGTCCAAATTTCTAGGTCTTTAATAATTCATTTCGGCTGTCATCCTGCCAGCTGAAAGTTTATGTTCTTGCTAAAACGGTAGAACTCTGTCCGAACTCTGTAATTTGGCTTCCCATAATTATTTTACAATGTTCTGTTGAATAACGTAAATAACGAATTTCAGATTTGATTTCCACTACCACTACCTCACACGGGCTTGGTAGTTACGCATCTGGTTGATTAATTGAAATAATCAGACCCATCTGATTGGTTAATGATGCCTTAAAGGTAGTGATAGCGGTAGTGGAAGTCAAATCTGTATCTCTCTAATTTCAAATATCTTAAATATTATTCATCTGTTCCTTTTTGAATGCACTTCTCAACTTTTTGAATTCTGAAATCCAGTTTGTTTCCCAACGACTTCCAGCCACTTTGCCTGAATAATTTCTTTAGTTTTGTGATCCATCAACTCTCGTCCTTTCGTTGCAGATCCCGTGACAACCTTACTGGCTACAACATCATCAGGTATCCCACAACTTTTATTCCGACAACGTGCGAGACGAACATTTGAAAACATCCTCTCATTTTTCTTCATAAATTCAAAGGAGCTCATGTTCACAGCCTTCTTAATCCTTTCCTCATCTTGAATTCCTATGAATGCTGCAACCATCCTAACTACACTTTCTAAATCATCTTTCATATCCTCAAAGAACAGAAATAAAACATTCGAGTCATTCCTGTGTTCCCACCAGCTGAGCAAGTGGACAAAAAAGGACGCAAATATCATCTTCTTTTTTGGTATTCCAAGGGCAAGTAGATAATCCTTTACAAATTCGTCAAGTAAAACTTTCCCTGGTTGAAATAACCAACCCTTGAAGAAGTTGAAGTGACTGTAGAATGCAGCACATGGTTCACGGTAAATAACAATGTATTTTGATGCACCCTTGGGACACGAAGGATACCATGCATGAGTCTTGTAACATCTAACAACGAGAACAAACCATATGATCCTAAATTATACAAGAACGGTTTGTGCCAGTGTAGGTAGCGATGATAACAAGAGAGCTGCGGGTTTCAGAGAGATAATAACTGCCTGAAAAACACAAGCAAAACCTCGACGTTTCGAGCAAAGTTCTGCTTGTATTTTTCAGGTACTTTTATGTATCTCTCAACAGGTGGGAAATTTGTCGTCGCTGACCAAAAAATTGCGGGCAGTAACAAAGCTCATTGCATTTACATTCAAAACAAAGCAGAAAGTTAGCAAGAAGCTGCTTCGAGAAGGGTCTAGTTTGAAAATTTAGCTATTAATTTCGATTTCATGAGCATATTTTGGTTACACGTTAAGTATTTTTGTGCTTGATGAGATTCAAAATTTGATGTATATTCAAGCCCGGCTTTTGTGTAATTTTGGTGATGACCGGAACATAAATAAAGATATTTTAAAAACTGGCCGTGGCCTCACGATAAAACTTTCTACAAATGTTCTCTGTTTCATGTAATTTTATTTGATATCTTAGGTATAAGCGTAAAAATAGGGGCTCATAGAGTTTGAGAGGTTGTAAAATGCATGACTTGCCTCTATTTTCATGTAAACATTCGAAATTCTTCGACAGCAAAGTAGCAACTGTTTCAGATCGAATGCACACGGACAGCCCACCAGAGACAATGGCAGGGTACTGAAATAGAACGTCACTAAAAAATTCTGTATGATTAATTTAGATCATGTCCACTCTTTCAACATAAAACAGTCATTTATTTTGTACAAACATTTGGCAATATTTACACGATTGTGCCTTTTTGTAAACACGCGTTGCGTGTATTCCACGCAATTGCGTGGCTCATTTTACTCGCGCATGCTCAGACAAATTTCCCACCTGTTGTATCTCTCTAAAATCCGCAGATGTCTTCCCTAAATTAAACAGTATGCTAAATATAATACATGTACAAGAGGTTCACTATATCAAAACTATAATGTCGATCTTACTGTATCGGCAACGAAAGGGATATAGAACAGCAATTATATTTGGGCAGCGCCGAAAACGAGACCATTTTTAGGATAAATTGCCAAGCAGTTCCGCATTGCAAAAAATTTAAATACAGTGGGATTTTTCTCCTTTTAATACGGGATACTATATTAAGAAATTAAATAGAAAACATTTTCCGTGTTTCTACACAGTCAGCTATAGAAACACGCGTTGGAGTTTGTGTTTTTCCAATGATTATTTCTTGTTATCCAAATGGCGAGTTTTTCCACGTACGTCATTTCGATTTCTCCCAAACTATTACCAGTGTTTCCATAACTGTATGGAAACACAGGACGGAAAATGTTTTGTCTTGTGCTTCCTTAATTTGGCATGAAAAGTAGTCTTTCAACATAGTTTTTTCGATTACTAGTCCAGCGGAAAAGTAAAAAAATCATGCACTTTGTGAAGAAAGCACCCAATTCACAGGAAGTGTAGACTTTAACATGATAATGAATCTTAGATATGGAGGCATCACCAAAATTGATGCTGACGGCTTAAAATTTACGATTTCTTATATTCTCTTATTAAAATCTATTACTGTTTAAAATTGTGAAATTGCAGGTTCACATATAGCAAAAATGACTTCCATGATTAGAAAGCTTACAAAAAACTACATATAAGACTTTTAAACGGCTGATTGATTTTCCAAGCGGTTTTCCAGTTGTTGCTATTTAAAAACTTGATAAATAGGCAAAAACCCCGCCAAAGTCCTGGGCACTAGCCCTAAAACATATTTTCAACCGCTCATAACTCCAGAGGGGTTGGAAAATCAAAGTAACTGCTTAAATGTCTTAGATGCAGTTTTTTGTAAGCTTTCTAATGACGCATGTCATTTTTGCTATATGTGCTATATGTTATGCTATATTTTATGCTTTTGCTATATTTTAATTCTATAAGAGATTAATAAGAGAATATAAGAAATCGTAAATTTTAAGCCGTCAGCATCAATTTTGGTGATGCCTCCATATCTAAGATTTATTATCATGTTAAAGTCTACACTTCCTGTGAATTTGATGCTTTCTTCACAAAGTGCATAATTTTCTCAAATATCTGTGCATATCCGCTGGACTATACAGCGCGTGTAAAAATTGTTTTGTTTACCTTTTAAAAATCAATGCTGCGAGACGGAAACGTTCCCTTGTTTCCATACAGTTATAGAAACACGTTTTTCGACTAATCAACGCTCGCGTACTATAAATGATATATCATCCGACGCTCGGCAGCACACTATTCTTTACGTGCTATGGTTTCTCCAGAGTTCACTCGATCCAGTCTTTCGCACGATCTATGTATTGTCGAGACCCCAATCACAGATTAAGAATATACCAGATGCGTGTCCTCAAATTTCCCTAGATGAACACGTCAGGCTCACGCCATGACACTTGCTAGCAAAATGGCGTCCTGAAAAACACGAAATTTTGCACTTTATTGCGGCCTTTTTGGATGGAAATTTTTGGATTTAACAATCAATGTTGAATGTTTAAAGTTGTTGAGAGCAATTAAAGTTGTTGAAAAGGTGTTGAAAGCATTTTTGAAAGTAAGACGTATTACCAAATGACGAATTATCACGCGAGCGACACCTGCTAGGAAGGTGGCGACCGTGGCACAACGTTTTTTACTGAAGTTACACATTTGTACATACTTAAGGACCCAAGCAACATTTATTTTATACGGGACCCTTCTTTTAGGGATGTATACTTCCTAAGGGGTCATTTTATTCATTTACACACAAAATCTCCGAAGACTGCAATTATCAGACAAAACATACACCACCTAATATATAGGGGCTGTTTATATGGTGCAAACCAGCCCTGGGGTATACCCAAGCTGGCCCAGTTTTGGCGAGATCCTGCCTTTGTTGTTATTTTCTATTAATTTAAATATCACCTTGTGTATATATGGGTAAGGAGCAGGCCCACCTAAGCAAGATCCTGCCCCTTTAGCCCAAGATCTTGCTAAAACTGGGCCAAAATTTGCCTAAGGAAAAGTGACCTACAGTAGCCCGGGTATCCATACAGGCTCGCCCCCATATAAACATCCCCTTATTACATATCTCAATATATATATATATATATATATATATATATATATATATATATATATATATATATATATATATATATATATATATATATATATATATATATACAGTCTATTAAATTTTCAGGATTTAATTTTGGGCATCTACACTTGATATAACTAATATTCGGTATATGCTTGTAAACCATGTGGGCCATTTAGGTGGTAAATCCTGAAATATGCCTCATGCCCCTCATGAATCTGGAGTATCATTCCAGTGGTTAGTTCATATACCTTCAGCTCAAACATTGTTCCGAGTCTTTGGCAACTAGCTGTTTTTCTTTTAATTATTAACAGACCATTTAATATACATGGATAAAATAAGAGAAATCTATTAATTTACACGTTTTACACATTAATTTAATTGTTTATATAATAGTACTTGGAATTCAGATGATGTATTTTTTATCTTCACACTGTACAGGATGAGTAAAAAAAAACTGACACCTTGTTATAATTTGAATATCAAAGGTATCAGTTTTTTTTACTCACCCTGTATAACAGCAATTTTTCTCATTAATTAACAGTAACATCATTTCCTAAATTCAGATATTCTCACATGGGACATATACTTTAGTATTGTTGTATATTGTTTACAAATTAGAATATTAAATTGTTTCATAAACTTTAAGAATTCCATTGGAATTGGAATTCTTAAGAAATTCCTTTAAAATTCCGTGGTAAATTCATGTGATTGTCTATAGAAAGGAAAGTTTTAAGGAATTTCAGAGGAAATTTTATAATTTAGATGGTTACAATCATAGATAGCTACATGAACATATTCTGTAACATTGTTTCAAAATAAAATTGCATTTTAATTAATAAAGAAATGCAAGAATGTGAAAGAAACCAAATTGTATACAGTGAAACTTTAAAGTGGGAAAGAGATTAGGTGGTGAGATATGGTTAGTGTTTTAAAATCTTGAAATATATACTTTAATATACAGGTTTTATATAATTAATATGGTTAATATATGTTTATGGGACTAGCAATATCTCGTGAAGAGGGCATATAGCTTTGACTACAAACTATAAAAAACCAATCATATTTCAATTTAACAAGTATGGAAAAATTTGAGAAGTAAAATAGCGAAGTATCCCAAGATTTTAGCATTCATTGATCCAACCCCCATAACTTGCAAATTTTATTCGTTCAGCGTAGTTGCTTGAGCGGTCAGAGTGCATGCCTGCAGTCTTAATATGAGTGAGCAATATAACTTCCATCTAGTTGAATCTCCAGAAATGTTAAAATCCTTTAATTCTATTGGCATTTCCCTATGGGCCCATCTTATAAGATAAATTATTATTTCTGATTATGAATTTGCATTTCCATTGAAAGGAAAGATACTACACAAATGACAAGTCTTATTTTCAGCAGACAAATTTCCAAGCCTTCAGATAACCGATATTTATAATAGTACCTTGCAATTGTAGAGGTAACCCATAATAAGGCACAATGCTAACTAACGTGGCCCACATGACTGTTAATGTGTTTTAATTACTCCACAAGAAAACAAGGATATTGGATGTTGAGGTTTTAAACACGTATGTTTACCAATCAATCCCGTTCCATTTTAATTATAATGGCCACTGTGGTCAAAGCACTCCATATTATTATTTACTCTCTAACAGCTAGCTCTAGCAGATGATCTTACACTCATCAAGGGCAATTTTGGACCTTAATTTTCAGACCCATGCACCCCGGTCATAAGTAATGACCGGTCCCTTACTGATAGTAGTGCGGGGCAGCAACTTTTTTAGCAAAGTTCCGGGCGGGGCTGGAAATTTTTATCACACCAACCTAAACGAGGCTTTCTTTTTTTACATTAAAAATTGATTTGCTCCTGCCCGGGGGTACAATAAATTTTGCATGGCTCCTAATCTATGCCTCGATCTTGTGTCTGTCAAGATTTCGTATTTCCGGGGGAATAATTTAGCCTAGTTTACATGTGCGATTTTTTCTGGCGGCGGCATATTTCATTGCGTTACCGGCGCGAGAGAAGAAATCGCGTGTATTATACGCAATTGCAACTTGACACCTTCGGCAATCGTTGCCGAAAGTTAAAATGATTTACTGTTCGGCAACGAATGCCGAAAATATCAAATTACATGTGATTGTACTTAGCCTGCCAGCCAACGAAAATCGCTCTACTTGACAATGACTGGCCAGTGAAAAATACATTAGGGGCGGCTAATCCAGTGGACTGTACTAGTAAAAGATCTCCAAGTTTACACATGAGTGTCGACGCAAGGAAAAATCAGTTAATTTTTAAAACATCGCTTAATATGGTCCCAGATTAACTACGCATGCTAGGATCGTTAGGCTATATTGAGAACACAATATTTTTGTTTCTGTTAACCAGACCACACTTCACAGTAATCAAACTTTCAAACTTGTGTCTAAAATTAGGAGCGCTAAATTTTGCCAAGAAATCATGAACTTAGCCTCGATTTGTAAAACGCTGGCTTTGCACTTGCGAGACGAGAAAATCATTGCACGTGTTGCCACTTCTCCTGCGCCGGCGGCGCGATCAAATATGTCCGGTTGCGTTGCCCGCGCGAGAAAAAGTCGCACGTGTAACCCCATACCTTTAAGCTTAAAGTGCCCCTAACCCCAAAATATTTTCTTATCGATATCAAATCGTGGTATGATTTCTAGTATTTCTGCGAAAACAAAAATGAATTTAGGCAAATCCTCCGCATTTTATGACGGTTTAAAATTGGTAAAATGGCACATTTTGATGGACCACTTCCGTGGCTACGAAGAGTCTGGAACGAGTAAATTTCGTGACGTCATGCGAGATACTCATCAAATTTTACACTCGGCCAGCTAGACTGGATAGCTCTATAGATAGCTCTGAGGTCGAAATACCAGGTTATGAACTGATAAGGCTAGATGGACTTAATACCAGACAATGTGGAAGCAATTTGCCTTGAAATTAGAAAACGGCCTCGAACCAAACCGTTGGTAATCTCCGCTTGGTACCGCCCACCCAGTGCATAAATAGAACTGCTTAATCTTTTTGAGCACTTCCTTCAAAGGATTGACAACGAAAGCAAACAAATCATTATAACAGGGGATTTTAACTGTGACTTGTTGAACTTTAAAGACTTGTTAGATATTTACCAACCGTCCAACAACTTATTGACAAACCCACTAGAACAACTGACTCAACAGCAACATTGCTAGACGTCATAATCACTAGAATTGACGATATAAAAACCACTGATTCGGGTGTCATTGAATTAGGTATAAGTGACCATAGCTTGGTTTACATATGTACTAGGAAGATTGGAATCCCTAGAGAAAAACCAAAAATAATTCATGCAAGGCAGTTTAAAAACTTCAAAACTGCAGACTTCCAAAATTATCTAAACCAGGCATGCAGAAATTTTAAATTTTAGAGCTGTGCAAACTCCGGTTATTTTAGCTCCGGCTCCGGCAAGAAATGTTTAATGAAATTCCATATTTAAAAGTGGAAGCAGGCGAAAGTATTTCAGTGTAATTTCAGAATTTATCTTTTTTAAAAACCTTTTTACAACACTATTAATAGTAAACAATATAGTAATATTTAACAATTATTCACCGAAGGCGAGGTGATTATCGATGAATAAAAACCGAGACGAAGTCGCGGTTTTTATTCACGATAATCACCGAGCCTGAGGTGAATAATTGTTTTAGTATAATTTCATAGGTGATTATTTAGAAAAAAATTAAAAATACACATTTCTTCGTCATTTAATTGACAAAACGGTTTCGGCCGCCATTTTGAAAATCGCTTAGGTGATTATCGCGTAATAATCACCTCAACAGCAACCAATCAGCGTGGAGAATTTTCAATAATCACCTATGTAATTATACTAAATAGTAATACAACATGTAAATAGTAATATATTAGTAAACAATAACTTAATTTTCCCATTTAATGCCAAATTTTGGTAAATATGAAATAATTTTTCATAATTTTGGAGTTTTCGAACTCCGGCTCCAGTAAAATATGCCGGAGCTCTGGCTCCGGCACTCCGGCTCCGGCGCACAGCTCTAATTTTAATCATCATTCAGATTCCAACATTGCGTGGCATGAATGAAAAGAAACCTTTCTTCAAATTTCTGACCTGCATGCCCCATGACCATGTCGGTCAAGAAAAGTTAAAAGTGAATATCAACCTTGGTTGACCAATGAAATTAAACAACTTTGTTACCATCGAGACTATTCTGAAGAGGAAAGCGATTCAACTGAACTCATCTGCATTTCATATAGTTTATGTATTTCAAAGTTTATGTATTATGTACATCAAAGCAGTCCAAAAAGACATTTTACTAACAACCACAAGTGCCAAATACAGCCTGTACTAAAAAAAACTGTCAATAATTGTTTTATAAATGATTAAATTCCAACCCCGCTATTCTATAGGATTTTCTTAAAATTTCATATATTGTATGCAAATATATGCTCTTCCAAATCGTTACTTAAACGTAAGCGGTGCAAGCCGATAAACTAGCGAGAATCTGTCTCAAAATTTGACTATTTTGCACGCCTCATATCCTAATTACAGTAATTCTGATATACACAAAGTCAATGATATATATGTGCGCTGTCAAAAATTGTCCCTTTAACCATACATAACTTCCACTCTATTGTATACAATTTTTTTCAGCTTTCACATCTTGTACAAAATTATATGCTCTTTTACATGGTTACTTACAAGTATGTGGTGCAAGCCTTAAAATGAACGAAAATCCCACTCAAATTTGGCTGTATAATTACGCGCATCTGATACACTAAGCCAATATATATATGCGTTGCGAGGAACTTCCTGCATTTAATTTGTAGATTTTGCGCCCGCTATTCTATAGGATTTTCTTAAACTTTCATATATAGTATAAAATTATATGCTCTTTCAAATGGTTACTAACACGTAAGTGGTCCAAGCCTAAAATGAACGAAAATCCCACTCAAACATGACTGTACTTCGCGCCTCTTATATTATCAGTCAATCATATATGAGCTTTCAACAACTGTCTGTTTAATTGTAAAAATCTTGCGCGCTATTCTATAGGATTTTCTTAAAATTTCATATGTTGTATACAATTATATGCTCTTTCAAATGGTTACTAACACGTAAGTGGTGCAAGCCTGAAAATGAACGAAAATGCCACTCAAACATGGTACCGCGAGCCTCATATGTTGTAAGCCAATTAATATATGCATGCATGTGAGCTTTAAACAACTGTCTGTTTAGTTGTAAAATATTGCCCGCTATCCTATAGGAATTTCTTAAAACTTCATATGTTGTATAAAATTATATGCTTTTTCAAATGGTTACTAACACGTAAGTGGTGCAAGCCTGAAAATGAACGAAAATCCCACTCAAACATGGTACTGCGCGCCTCGTATATTATAAGCCAATTAATATATGCATGTGAGCTTTGAATAACTGTCTGTTTAGTTGTAAAAATCTTGCCCGCTATTCTATAGGATTTTCTTAAAACTTCATATGTTGTATAAAATTATATGCTTTTTCAAATGGTTACTAACACGTAAGTGGTGCAAGCTTAAAAATGAACGAAAATCCCACTCAAACATTACTGTACTTCGCGCCTCGTATGTTATCAGTCAATTATATATGAGCTTTCAACAACTGTGTGTTTAATTGTAAAAATCTTGCCCGCTATTCTATAGGATTTTCTTAAAACTTCATATATTGTATAAAATTATATACTCTTTCAAATGGTTACTAACACGTAAGTGGTGCAAGCCTTAAAATGAACGAAAATCCCACTCAAATTTGGCTGTATAGTTACGCGCATCTGATACACTAATCCAATTATATATGCGTTGCGAGGAACTTCCTGCATTTAATTTGTAGATTTTGCACCCGCTATTCTATAGGATTTTCTTAAACTTTCATATATTGTATTAAATTATATGCTCTTTCAAATGGTTACTAACACATAAGTGGTGCAAGCCTAAAAATGAACTAAAATCCCACTCAAACATGACTGTACTCCGCGCCTCTTATATTATCAGAATATTATTAAGAAAATCCTATAGAATAGCGGGGTTGGAATTAAATCATTTATAAAACAATTCTTAACAGTTTTTTTTTAGTACAGGCTGTATTTGGCACCTGTGGTTATAATTGTTAGTAAAATGTCTTTTTGGACTGCTTTGATGCGCGTTTATTGGTTTTTATGCAATGAAACATAAAGGTATTAATTAGTTAATACGAACTATATGATCAGTATTTCTTTCTAATTCATTTGGAAGAGAAGAAATGGCTATATTTTTCATTTTTACTTCTGAGTGATTGAAATGAGTGAGTTCACACAATATCGAATATCATGTTGAATGTCATTGAATCTCATACGTAATTCACAGTGGTGGTTAAGGCTTTAGAACAATCAGCCCAAGATATAGACACGTAGTTAAGCTAAAAATGCTTTATATATATATATATATATATATATATATATATATATATATATATATATATATATATATATATATATATATATATATATAAATTTTTCTGCGCCGAAGATTGCGCCAAAAATGTACGCCAAACTTTGTTCGAGTCGCTGTTCTGCACCGAAGATCTTTCGGAAATACACCCTCAAATTCACTCTGGCTTATCAAAGAATGTGAAGTATATGGAACTAAACGTCGATCTACTTCGACTAATTCGACTGTGGTATCAGTGATTACGTTGGCCAGCTACATTGCGTAATCATACTAATCAACAACCATATAATCATATAATACGGGCCGGTGGAATTTTAGTATCTTACCGTGGTTGATGCTTGTGCTCAGCTTCGAGATCTATTTCGGTATCATAGGCCAACTCGATAAAAGGGACAACATCACAAATATCATCGAATGACATATCGCCACCACTACGTAACTGATGTACAATCTGTTGCATCCATGTTGTGCCGCACTTTGGGGGAGTCACGATGAGCACGTCATTTGAACGAGGTTTAAAACTTAAACCACGATGTACTCCTTCGTCTGTTGTCAAGACAGACATTCTCTGCATCATGAGCAGCATCTCTGCGCTGACATCGGCAGATTTCTCAGAAGACATTTCCAGAAAAATTACCGCGGAACACGACAGAAATGCAAGCTGAGGGGTTATTATAAATGTTAGTTACGATATTCGTCGCGCACTGATGGATCACAAGACAGTACTAGTATTGATTACGAGATTAAAGTTATGCAATAATTTAATTAAGTTGATACTAGAAGTTACTATCGCAAGTAAAGTGCTGCCCTCATGCTAAAAACGTCTGCGAAATATATCGACCTAACTAAGAGTAAAATTTAAAATATAGGTACGCAGTGTGTACATGTTGCATGCCATCTGAAACCTTGTGGTGCGCTAGCGCTTATAAATTTTGGTACAACTAGCCTGAAAGTTATCGATAGCGTGGCCTTTCACGATATATAAATAACGCCTGATAATAGACAATTCTCATTATAGACTAATTCCCATCTTGGCAAAAAAGTATATTCCCGAAAAGGGCATACTAAAATGAGTAAAATTGCAAGTTTGGTTGCGAAATGTTGTAAAATGCGGAAAATATAGCCTTGTAAAGTCGGCAAATTTTGTATACTTTTCTATTCCGTGCGGAAATTGCTACCATGCCCATTTGGGCCGAAAACTTTGAAAACTTTGCAAGGCTCCGCATTTTACAACTTTTCGCAACCAAACTTTGCAATTTTACACATCTTAGTATGCTCTTTCTATCTTTGGTGATTTATTTGTATCTCTTTGCCTAGTTTTAAAATTAGTCTATAATGGGAATTGTCTAATAAACAGTGCGAGGACAACGGCTGCAAAATCACAACAAATAACAGAATATAAGGTAAACCGCTAAAAACAGCAAGGTTTTACCTACCTCGATCTATTTTTCTAAAGGCTGCTCTCCAGTCACGCGTTTTTCATACGTGCGTATATACGCACGTAAAAGTTTAAATCTTTTTAAATTTAACACTAGTATGAATTACCTGTACAAATGCACATTAAATCATTCACAAAACTATATGCTTTCTTTTATTCATTCAGTTATTTCGTAAGTAACATTTAAAAAGATTTAAACTTTTCCGTGCGTATACGCACGTATGAAAAACGCGTGACTGGAGAGCAGCCTTAAGGCGCTCAGTTACGTAAATTTTCGACGAACAATCAACATTTTCTTTGTGCTTCAAAAGCGTGCATGAGTGATTCACATCACAATATCGCATGAAAATGCTCGTCGGAAAAACTCGGTATTTGTCGTATTTTACGAATCTGTCACGTGATTTACCACCGCCGGTACACCGGTACACCGGCAGACCGCGACACGAAATTTAGAGCTATACGAAAGTTGCATGCCATATATGGGCATGTAACAAAAACCGGGCGCACGGTTTCGCGCTTTTCGGCGGAGGGGGGAGAGGCAGTTTTTATTAAGGATTATAATGAAATAACCTGAATTCAACATATTTTCGGATAAATCTGCCCGAATTTCCTTGATTTTTCCTACCATTTCCCGAATTTCCATGGCTTTTGCGCGTACGCCTAGGCAGATAGCACTATCCACCACAAAGCGCCTTTTTCAAATTTTCGAAAATAACCCCTCGTTTGGTATAATCCAGATCAAACATTACTATTTATAACTGAAGTTTCGTTTTGTCGATATTGTATCAGGTATAATATATACAACCACGGCAAATGGAATTCTTCAATTTCTTCGTACCAACAATTTTATAAATTTATAAATGCTAACAAAAGTCGACGTCATGCTTTACAACAAAGCTGTCAATGAGATCTTGAATAAAACAATTTCGCCGGTAGTAAATGCCTTCTAGGATCGATTTTTGTGATGCAATTAGCTTTTCTCTAGTTACGACCAATTATTGCAGTTGGCATTTGGTAAACTCAAACGTTTGCTTTGAGTGTGTCCACACCGGGCAAGCTGAAAAGTTTGCTTGATCTCGGTCGGAATCGAACCCGCGACCTTCGCGACCTTTGGTTTGCCAGTCCAATGCTCTACCAACTTAGCTACGAGGTCAAGCGGTTCGAGTGCGTGATATTTCGGAACTCAGTCTAGTTCCTTCCATATGTCAGTATCTTTTTATGATCTTCAATTAAAAAACATAGTGCTATCGAAGGAACTAGACTGAGTTCGGAAATATCACGCACTCGAACTGACTTGACCTCGTAACTCAGTTGAAGTGAGCATTGGGCTGCAAAACCAAATTTCGCGGGTTGGCATAGACAGATTGTGCTAGTAAATTGCGAAAAAGTTTCTCAAAAAATGCTGAAAAGTTGCTCCAAAACGCCGAAAAGTAGCTAAAAAAGTTGCTCAAAATGGAAAAAGTTGCGCCAAAGTCGGAGAAAATGCTCTCAAATTCCCGTCCAGAAATTGATTGGTTGTCTGCTTTATTTGCTGATATTTACAATAATATACATTGGGTGATTATTAGGGTTTAATATGTCACTTTCCTCGGTTGAAGATGATGTGTCCGCCATATTTTAAATATTATTTTTGTGAATACTGGAATAAATTAAATTGCCTCATCATAGAGCCCAGGCCCCGGCCCACAGATTCAAAGCTTATTGAGGAAATGTTCAAAACAACAAAACGTACACATTCTAGATGAATAAGCTCTGCAAAGTTGCTAAAAGTATGCAAATTTTAGGAAAAGTTGCTCAAACTTGCTCGTTTGCCAAAAAGTTGCTCAAAATCCAAAAAGTTGCCGAGCACAATCTGACTATGCCTAGTCACGGGTTCGATTCCCACCTCGGTCAAGCAAACTTTTCAGGTTGCCCGGTGTGGACACACTCAGGGCAACATCACAAACATATATCTTCACCTGAGTGCATAACACCTGAAACAAGAATTCAAACTCAAAAGAGTCACAACCGTATCTGTTTTCCCCATATTTAAATGTTGAGCATTTAGTTTCCATCGATCGTGCACTGTACAGACATATTCAGCAAATTACGGTCGATTTCAGGTCACTTTTCAAAGCGCGATTCCCAAGTTTGTTTTGAATATTCCTAATTGCATTACCAAATTTGGAATATTGCGTGAGAACTTGCAAAGCCAAATTTGCATGTTGGTGAATTAAGTACTGAAGTACCCGACTAAAGTACGGAAGTACTGAACTAAAGTACTGAAGTACTGAAAGTCTGAAATGAATGCGTTTAGTCGGCAAGGCAAGGCAAGGCAAGGCAAAGCATTACCTATCGAAGTTAGAAACAACATAGTTGGGAAGTGGTTGAATAATGAGGGTATAGCAAACATATCGCGACAATTAAACCTACCGTACAAAACGGTTAGTAATATTGTAGATCTCTGGGTAGACAATGGAGACATTGAACCTCGCCAGCCACATCGTGGGGCAAGTGGGACCGCTCGTACGGATGACGTTATAACGTACATCGAATACTTGAAAACTAATAAGCCGTCAATATATGGAAAAGAAATACAACAAGAATTGCAAAGTAACAACGTGTGCCTACCAGAAAACGTGCCTAACAGGTCTTCGATAAGTAGGGTTTTAAAAGCCGATGTTGGCTGGTCATACAAGCAAATAAGTCAAATAGCTCGTGAAACAGAAAGGCCGGATGTCATGGAAAAATTGGAAAATTACATCGCAGACATTTCAGGAATAGATTGTAACCGATTACATTTCTTTGATGAATCGTCGGTAGTTGTAACGAGCGGAAACCGACGTCGTGGGCACAGTGCAATAGGCACTCCAGCAATCGAAGTACAACGATATGCTTCGAATGCCACATATACTGTGAATCTGCTACATAACATCCGTGGAGTATCTCATTTCAATATTCTAAGAGGCCCATCAAACGGTTTGGAATTGCTAAACTTCTTCGAAGAAGCTCTCGAGCAAGAAGACGTATTTGCAAACCCTGTTATAAAAGAACATGATGTTATAATAATGGATAACTAGATAGATAGATAGATAGATACTTTATTGCGTGTTCCCCTAAGAGCTTTTCAACACTACATTACATATTAAAATTACTATAAATTACTTCTAAAACTACCTATGTTACATATACTTATTTAAAATTAGTTAAAATATGTACAAAGAGTATGAAATATTAAATGTATTTAATAGGATTCTTTTAGTAAAATTTCCCTAAGTTTTTTCTTAAAAATTGTTATTGATGTAATATTTTTAGTTTATCATCCAAGTCATTCCATATTTTAACACCCCGGTAATTAAATGTTCTTTGACCTGTAGCAGATTTATACAG